AGGCAGACTGTCTTTGGGAATGTTGCCAATGACTGCCCAGAACATTCCATGAGTCTCACTTTCACAGCCCAGCAGCAGACATTTTAGAAATACTGAGAGGCAGTGGAAATGGCAAGTTCACGAGATGGTGTGCTTTCCCATTCTGTGCAACATTTGTGTGCATTCTCCATATGACTCTGACAGAGATTGAAAACTGGCTATTTCTGCCTTGTGCCTAAAGGTAATTTTGCTTTTTTGGAGCACAAATTCACCCATCAAGTCTTCAAGGCAGGGACAATGACATTAATTCACTCAACTAATGTTGGGCTCTTTGAAAAACATGGCCTGGCTGGGGGTTAATGCTTAATAAATGCTTTCTGATAATGATGCTATCATATTTTAGTTAAAGAATAATCAAACACAGGCATGACCTTACAAGCATACATACAGAGCTATTTCTATTGTCCTTGAAAAGCCTCTCAGGAGCATTTCAGATTGTGTGGGAAGTCCTTGCCATCTTAAGGTTGCTCTTACTTGCACGACTTTAGACCTCCAATGAGTTTAAAAATCACTGGACTCAAGCTGTGTACCTGAGGTGGGAGTTGGGGAGGAAGGGGACTTGTCAGGACATCTGATTTCTGTATCTTCTCTCTCCTGAAATGAGACACACAGAGAAATAAGAAGAATTAGATCTTGCTAAATTGAAAATTGGTTGCAAAGTGGAACCTCTATTTTAGAAAATTTCATTTAAGATAAATAAAAACCTTGGTGTCTTTTATGATTTCTCCCTCTCCTTCAACCACATCAGATCAGCCACAACATCCTTTCGACATGCTCCCAAACCTGTCGCTCCTCTCCAGGGCTTCTACCTCAGCCTAAGTTCAGGCCTTTGTGATTTCCTGCCTGGAATGCGCAGTCTCCACCAGCATCACCGCCTCCAGCCCCGTGGGCTTGCTCACCAGCCTTCTGAATTCATTCAGAGTGGTCTCCTTCATAATATGCCACTCCTTTGCCCAAATTCTCAGTGAGAGGGATTTTTGTTTTTGTTTTTTATTAATGTGCCCCAGAGCCTAGAACAGCACCTGGCGTAGTAGAAACTCAACAAATATTTGTTGTTTGAACAAATAAATTAGTATTCCATATTAACATCACCATAAAGTCCTTCCTTCTCAGCATGGCCTAAGAGGTCTCCTGACATTCAAAACCACCAGCGCTCAACTGAAGTCTCGCCTTCATGTCTCTGCCCAGTCAGCTGCCTCTAGTCTCCCTTTCCCTCCCCCCCTTTCATTTTCTCATCCTCCCACCTGCCTCAACCTTAGTCATCCTTCAAGGCTGAGGTCATGGGGACCCTTTGGAAAGCCCTCTTCAACTTTCTCCTGTCTGAGTTAGTTTCTCTTCCTGTGTTCCCAGAATACCCCATGAAAACATTATTACATTGTGCTATAATTGCTAATCGACTTTCTCTACCAGACTGAGTTCCTAGGGACAAACAATGCATGTACGTTTTTTTGTTTCTCATGGCTGACATCCATCCATCTATCTATCCATTTATTCATTCAACAAATACTTATTGGGTACCTACCCTGAGTTTCTGCCCTCACTGAGCTCGCATTCTAGTGATACACAGCAGGTATTCAATAAATGTATTCTGAAGGAAATTATCACTGCCTCTTGTCAGATGATAATAATAGCAACACTTATATAGAACTCACTTATATAGAACTTACTTCACTATTTCCCAGATTAAAAAACCAAGGCACAGAGAGGTTAAGTGCCTTGTTCACTGACACAGAGCCAGTAAATGGAAGAGTCTAGATTTGCACCCAGAGCCAGTCATCTCACCTCACTGTGCCATGCTGCCTCTCAGAGGTATACTCATTGCTAAGATATTAGTTTTAAAATGCGAGGCAAGTTGATAAATCAAGTCTTTCATGCTGTGTTTTCCAGTGTGGAGGCCCAGGCCATCAACTTTGCCACCACCACTTGGAATAAATCTCACCCTCTTTCATAAAATAGGAAGGGAAAGATGTCACTAGGATCCAATTTGTCTCAACCCACCTCAGTCCCCAGTTCTCTGAAGTGTTTCTTGGGGGCTCAGAGGAGTGCAGGGTGCCCTATCCAATCTGGGCGGGAAGTACCAGAAGAGACTCATGAGCTAAGCAGTCAAGAAACACGAGTGAGTGTGTGATGACCACTGCGGGTGTGCACCGATGCAGAAGGCCTTCTGGTCCCCACACCGTCTGGTTTCAGATTTCACCACATTTTCTGCCTTTTCTTACCTCTCTCTTCAGATTAAGGACTCAAATGAGTTTAGAAGAACTTGTCAGAGATTCGAGAAGGGCCTGAAGACTCTTGCCTCGCATCACAGCAAACTGGAAACAGGCAGTGCTGAGCAGCCCCAACTGCTTCTTTGAGGCAGGTCCAAAGAAGAAACCATGGGGAGACCTGCCTCAAGGCACCAAATGGACAGCCACACACTGATCCTTCACCCTGCTCTGACTGCATTTCACATGTCTGCACAGCCTCAGCATGCCCAGAGGTGGACGGAGTTCCAAGACTTCAAGAATCACGGGAAGGTTCCAAAGACTCAGCAAAGGGTGAGGCCCCTGGTCCATTTGTGTGTTTGTCAGTCACAGAAACCCTCTCCTTACCTGAGGCTGGCTCTTTGGCAATCTGGTCTGGTAGTTGCTGTTCCTGTAGGTGAAGAGATAGGGACTCTCCTGCAGAGAAAAGTAACATGTCCTCACGACCCAGAAATCTGTATCTCCTAACTATCAGGCTTTATCATTCAGCAATGCCTTTGGCCAATTTGGAGCTTTCAAACCATCCTTTCAATGCTGACCAAACCATTCTCTGGCTTTTCTTCTCTGTGTGGTTCATTCACTCTCTGAAGGAGCTCATTAATGCTCTGAAATTTCTCATTTGCAACAGTCAGCATCTCTTGCCCTCTACCCCAGAGGCTTATTCTACCAGGCTAAGCATGTGTATTCAATGAGAAGAGAACTTAATTTTCAGCTTCTTGGCAGGCAAAGCAAAGAGGGAAACAGGGTGAATTATATAGTTCTTATTGCCTGAGAGCAAAAAGCTTGTCAATTCATCAAGAAAGCCAAAACTTTGACTAGCATTAAATGACAGAAGAATCCCATTCATTGATGTTCAGTTGGCCAGCAACATTAATTATATACCTACTACATATTAGGCACATATTAAGACAGAACCAAAACAATCCACCTTCAAGACTAGATACTCATCATACCCGCCTCCTTCTCTACGCTGAGGTAGAGGAAGGTCTGGAAATGGCATCCAGAACACAGGGCCCCAGAGAAGATGGGTGGGAGCAGATTTGGGGCCAGGTGAGCTGTGGCTTTGTTCCTGTGCCTTCCACAGGTGTAGAAAGGCCTCAGTTCTGCTAAAAACTGCCCTCATGGCCCAACAGGAGTAAACCTAGGGCAGCCACGTATGCAAAGCTGTGCCCAGACCCAGAAGAACAGAGCCAGGACTCTCACTAAGGTCTCACTTATGTAAGACCCCACTTCACAACAAAGCCCACTTGGCCACCCCACCTGTCTCCACGATCCGCAAGCGATTCCCTCCCCATCCAGCCCCTCCTACCTGAGAGGGACATTTCACTGGCCTCCTCTCTTTCGCACTGAAAAACTCATCTTTCTGTCCCGTTGGCTTCATCTAGAGAAGAAGGTGGTCTTTAGAACAGAACAGTCTTCTGCAGGTGGCAGCTTTCCAAGGTAGCCCTGAGAAGGACTCATTAGACCCACGTTTCTCAGAGTTTGGCTCCTGGACCAGGAGCAGCATCACCTGACAACTCATTAGAAATGCAAACTCTCCCCCCATCCCAGGCCCGCTGAATCAGAAACTCGGGGTGGGTGCAGCAGTCTGCTTTAACGAGCCCTCCAGGTAATTCTGATGTGCACTACACCCTTTACGCCCGCTCTGACCCTCCATCCTCCTCTATCCTCAGTGAGGATGGAGAACGACATGTTATTTCAAATAATTCCTTACGGGTCCCTCTTTCTCCAGCCACCCTGTGCCGCACACAAAAGCACATACACTGTTTTTACTCTGGGGACAACTGGTGCTGTTCTGCGATTTTATTCCACTTTTTGGTCCTTTAATTGCTTGCATCCCCTTAGCTTCCTAAGTTGCAGTGAAATTAGCCGAGTGTGGGAGGGATGAGGGGGTGACCTTAAAAATCCTCCCCAAGAAGCAGAATTCTCATTCAACCGTGAGCAGTTCCCAAGTTCTTTCTCCTCCCTGTGGCCCTAGGTACCTTGCAGGGCTTGGCATAAGGTGGGGGTCAGTGATTACTGAAAGGATCTGGGACTCGAGTTTCCTAAAGGCGGCTCCCTTCCACACTGCCATTGTGCAAGAGTTGTCACAAATCATTGAGGAGGCAGCAGACAGGGCCTAGGGAAGGAATTATGTCCCAAACACAAAATCCTCCTCAGCTTAGCACAAGGACCACAAGCATCAGCCTGGGGCCTCGTTCAGCTGGGACAGTGTGTGGCGCTTTTCCTTCCCTGGTCCTCAGTGCTTACACTGTCCTGGGGCTGGGTCATGCCACTGCCGTGGCCTGAGCACACCCACACGTGGCTCTGGGGGCTGTAGAGCAGAACCCTTCCCCCATTGTGTCCTGGGTGTGGTCGAGGAGAGAAGCGGGAGACCCAGGCCCTCTGTGATCACAGCCTGGCCCCTCTCTGCTCCCCTCGCAGGAGGACGGCCTTCACTTGTGCTCAGGGTGCTGCGAACCTGGGCGCAGAACAGGCACAGCTGGCTTTTCCCTCAGGGGTCCCAGTTACGCCCAACACAGCACAGAATCGAGGAGGTGGGGGCAGAGACTCCCGCCCTCCGCATGCCCACGGAGGACACAATTAGTGAAGCGAGTGTGTGATGGAGCCCAGCACTCCTGTATTTTCACAAGCCCTCTGAGGCTGGCTGAGGGTCATTACACCCTTTTGGCAAGTAGAGAAAATAGAGGCCCAGAAAGACCATGTGACTTGTTCCAGAAACAAACAGAACAGGATTTGAACCAAAGCCCAGGTTTTCTGACTCCTTGTCCAGTGCCCCTGACCCTGACCTGCCACATTCCTAATTTCTCATGGATGAAATGGGCTTGCAGGAGCTTTCCATGTGTCCTGGCAGCTGCACTTGCTCCAGGGGTGGTGGGATAGCCTAGCATTTTGCCTGGGAGAGAATGGACACACTTGGGGGAACCCCAAGGGCCGCAGGAGCCTCAAGGGACTTGTACTGGGAAACTATGAACTTGTGGCTGGTTGGACAGGTCTGGAGAGGGGTAACTTCCCACCTAGGAAAGCTGCCACCTCCTCCTCTGAGCCCTTGTGACACTTACTGTGTCCCAGGCCTTTGGCCTTGACCGTGACACCTTCTACTCCTCTCTTCACGACCACTCATCCTGACCCTCAAGTAGGTTATAAGAAGGCGCGCATGTGGTGTGCCTATTTGTATGCACAGGGACATCACCTAGTGGCTCAGTAAAGGTGGTTATCACTGCTGCCACCAACACCAAAGACAATCAATAGCAAGACTAAAGGAGAGAGAGGGGAGCCCAGCCCTTTCCCCTGGACCTGCTCTCCGCAGCTCTCCTCTGTCCAGTGTTCTCTGGGTCCCATTATCCACACATGTCCTCTCTTCTCAGACCAGCCTTCATCCTGCTCCTTGCTACACACATGGCTCCTTCTCTTCTCCATGCCCTTCGCTCACAAAGGCCCTCCTGCCTGGGCATGCCCTCCCTGACCTCTCTGACACGTGCTACCAAGCCATCAGGTCCCATCTTCATGGCCCCTCCCGCCCTCCCTGTCTGTATTGCTCTTCGGTGCACAGCCCAGCACAGCGCTGCCGGCGGGGTCCCTGTTCACTTGTTCCTGTGGTCGCCTGACCTTCCAATTGCACCTGAAGCCCAGTGAAGACAGAGCCCATATCTGGTGTGTCTCTGTGTCCCCCTTGCCCCCTGCATAGGGTGGGGCACATGGTAGGTGACTTTGCTGACTGGGAGGAGGAGGAGAGAGGTTTGGCCAAGTTGGAATATTCAGCCCTTCTCCCCCAGAGAGAGGGTGGTGGGAGGGCAGCCCCTGCTGGAGGGCTCAAGTGCCTTTCTCTCCTCCATGGGAGATCAGCAGCAAATGGTTTTCTGGGGGTAGATCCCATGCAATAAGCGTTTTCTCTCCTCCATGGGAGATCAGCAGCAAATGGTTTTCTGGGGGTAGATCCCATGCAATAAGCGTTCCTGTTCAAAGAAACCAGACACCTTCTCCAAAGGCCGGTGTGTTTCCACTAATGGGGCTGTCGGGGCCGCTCCCTCCCTCCCTGCTCTGTCTTATACCAGCTAATGTGTGTGACATGTGCTGCCTGGGGGAATCCATGCAGCACATCAGTTGAGGGGATGGAGAGACATTTTTCTAATCCAAGGAAGAAGAAGCACAATTTTTTTTGCCACTGGAATTCTAAATACAGGGCAGCTTGGATGTGGAAAAAAATAAATGGCAAAATCAGGCTTCCAGTGCCGCGGAAAGACACAAAGCCTCAATGTTGCATTCCAGACACTGACTAATCCCAGATATCCTGCAGGGCCTTCAGGATCTGGGGAAAGCCTGTCATAGTTACAGAAAGAAGGGCCATCACATGCTGGGTACATACCATGAGCCAGGAATGAGCTACACACTAGACGTGTTGGGTCAGGGGTCATGACCTGGGTTTTGCAGAAGGGGAGCTGAGACCCTGAGTTCACACAGCTGTGAGAGGTGGGATTAGAATTTGAACTTGGGGCTTCATTCTGAAGTCCACGCTCATCCCAGGCTCTACCCCGCGCCTTTAAAACTGCATGATGCCACATATGTGTGAGAAAAAGTGGACAGGCACTGTGAGGGAGCCCGTCCCCTAGTGCACCACTCAACGTGAGGTCTTCCACCGGGACTCTGAGGTAATGGGCCTGCCTCCAGAAGCAAGGCTGAGGCTCCCTGAGAGCCTGCCCACTGGCAGGGCTATGGCCCAGCCCTGGACAAGGTGGCGAAACTCCCAGGTGGTCAGAGCTGGGCCATTGCCGGGTGCTGAGAAGCACCCCAGGTGGTCAGAGCTGGGCCATTGCCGGGTGCTGAGAAGCACCCCAGGTGGCCCAGAACCATCATCCTGGGATCCTGCTGGTGTCCTGCGGCCTGTCCTCAGAACAGTGGCAAAGTGGGCATGGTGGTGGAGACCCTGCCCCTCCTTCTGAGGGCTGTACCCAGGCCAGCGCAGTGCCTTCAGGCTATCCACTCACCATGGTGTTCCAGAGACTCACAGCGAGTGTGGTGGGGTCCCAGAGCGGGGGGTCCTCCTGAAAGAGAACCAGATGACAGTGGAGCCCTACACGCCCCAAGGATGCAGTAGGCCTGCCGCCCACTTTGAAGCTCTCCCTGGCATGGAGACGGGGTGGCCCTGATCCCTCAGGCCCTCTGCCCATCAATAACAGTGGGCATTTATAGGACCGCTGTTTGGCATCAGGACTCAGAGGTCAGGGCCTGCAGGAGCAGGTCAGACGTCTGGCTGCTCCATGTTGTGGGGTTCTCCACACCCCAACTGGACAATGGGAGGCATGGATGGCAGGGAAGTGTGTAGTCTGAGCAGGAGGGTGAAGGAAAGAGACAGGAAGCTAATATTCCTCCTCCTCCTCTTAAGCCATTACTTTAAATGTCTTTATGTCCTGGAGGTGATGCAATGATTTCAACAGGCAGGAGCCTGGAGGGAGAAACTGTTTCCAGACACAGCACTGAAGCCTCAGAGGCTACAGAAACCTTGGTCAGCATGTGTGGACCCACTCACAGTGGTACATGATCTGGGTGGCCCTGTGCCCAGTGACTGGGGGAGGGACAACTCAAACTACCCTCCCTGGCACAGAGAAGCAAACAGAGGGAGGAGCCAGACTTGGTGCCCCTGGAAATTCTATCCTGAATAATCCCAATGGCCAAGAGGTCCCGAGTGCTTCTCAAGCACCAGGTGCTGCCCTCAGTCCTTCCCAGGCATTAACTCGTGATCCTGACAACCACACTGGAGGGAGGGGATATTAATAACAGTCCTGATTTTACAGATGAGGAACCAAGGCACAGAGAGTTCAAACACCTTGCCCAAGGTCACACAGCAGCCCAGCGCTGCCATGCTCTTCACCTTGGGGTTGCCCCACCTCTAAGAACCTGCCTCATGGGGGCCGTCCATCCCAGTGGGGAAAGTGCATAAGAACGCCTAAGAGAATATTGCAGCATTTCCCCCAAGACTACGTGTCCTGGGTTCAGGAAAGCTGAACTTGGCCAGGGCTTCTGTGGGGGCAAGAGTGGGCGAGGGGGATGGGAGCAGATGTGAGGTCAGGCCTCCCCCCCCTGCCCGCACATCCCTGCTGCCTCGCTCATGCTCACGGAGGGTGGCGACTGGGCGCTCTTGAAGAACAAAGACTGGAAAACCACCGCGAAGGACTCCCACCTGTTGTACTTGCTGGAGGCCAGGAGGTGTTCCCAGGTGTCCTGAGGAGAGGGGAGAGCTGCAGGGCCAGGAGCAGGTGCAGGGCAGAGCCTGCCCAGCGCCCCAAACGGGGTTCTCAGCAGCCCCTGGTCACAGTCACCTCCACGCATTGTTCTCAACTAGATGCTATCTAGAAGCTCTCCTGTGTCCCATGCTTCAGGGCTCTTTGCTGAACTAAGCTGAGTTTTCATTTTCCTCTGAAGCCCAGCATCAGGTGATACCAGACAGACCTGAAGTATATTCTCTGGAAGCTCAAGAAGCATAAGCTAGCCGTAGTGGATTGAATTGTTCCCCCCAAACTCCCTGAAGTTTGCATTGTGTCCCCCATGTTTTATATATTAGAAACAGCCCCACTGTGACTGTTAAGAGGGTGGGAAATCCTATTATGGTAATTGAAAGGTGGGGCCTTGAAGAAGAGATTGAATTGTAGGGCCATGCAGTAGTGAATGGATTAAAAACAGTGGTGAGGGGCGTGGTTCTGAGGGCTTTAAAAGAAGAGAGTCTCTCTCTCTCACTCTCTCTGTCTCTCTCTGCTTCCGCCATCGCACAATGTGAGACCCCTGGGTCACTGTCGCCACCACCAGATGGACTTTGGACTTCCCAGCCTCAGAAACTGTAAGCAATAAATTTCATTTTCTTATAAATTACCTAGTTTCACGTATTTTGATAGAAGCAACAGAAACAGACTAATACACCAGCCCAGCATGCAGCGGGGGCCCCAGCTCTCCTCCAGGGCTAAGTTCTGTGCAGGCACGTGCCATTCACCACTCAAAAAATGTCATTTCCAGGGTGAGAGAAGTGCCGCACAACTTCAAGTACAACTTTCTTCTCAAAAATCATCACATGAAAGCTGTCAGTAAGAGCTGTGCTTTCAGCAGTGTTGTAGCCCCCAGTTACGTACAGGAATGTGGAAATCACCACCAGGCAGGGGGCCAGGAGTCCTTCTCCTTGGTTCAGGAACCAAAGAACTGAATTCAGCGGGAGAAGTCCTGCGCTGGCAAACTTAACTAACTGGCCCTACCATCCTGTTCTCCTCCACGGCCACCCCACCCATGGGAGTCAGCAGCCCAGGCTCCCCGAGGGGGCTCACCTGGTAGGACCACTGCTTCAAAATCCCGGCCAGACCCCAGGTCTCCCCCGAGCAAGGGCAGGGCTCCGGTGTGGGGCTGCAGGTTAAAAACAGGCCAACATGAGAGAGCTGCAGGCGGTGTGGGGGGCTGCCCTGCGGCCTCTGGTGGGAAGAAGGGGTCTGGTGGGGACTGGGAGTGGCTTAGGGAGTGGGAAGAAGAGGCTGGAGTCTAGAGGGTGCAGGAGAGGGGGGAGGGAATGCTGGGGAGGGCAGCGTGGAAAGCTACCTGTGCAGCCCGCGCTGCCTGCCCAGCCCTTCCTGGCGGGTGGGGACGGGATGTGAAGATGCGTGTCCTCTCCGTCCTCTCCCTCCATCTCCTGCTCGGCCTCGTCCCCTCATGTGCTCCTTGCACAGAAACCCCCTCCCATCCTCTCTCCCCCCCCC